CATTAAAAATTTCGTGAACAATTTTTCCTCTTTAGATATTAAAAATAAAACCGACTTGCATCAGAAAAAAAGGTAAATACAATAAATTCTAAGACGACAAAACGAGCCCATGTGTTCTTTTAAAGTGAAACAATTTTCCTGCTGAGATGTCATCAGTGATAAGTAAAGCTTAGCCCTATTTTTCATCGACGTAACAACGTGACGCAAAGAAACACTTTATAACATAATAAATATATATATACAGCTCACATAAATATATAATATTTTAGTGTGCGAGATGTTTCTATATATATATATACAAAGTAACAAATGAACTCGATTAAGTATTTACAGAGGTTCATCATAATGTTCGTTGTGTAACTATTTATATGATTCTGTATGACATCTGAGCAAGTGTAAGTGAAGATTGAAGAAAATTTGTCAAGAGTGTGTGTGTGTGTGAGTGCGTTTGTAGCTAGAAGCATCAGGCTAAGCAAATGAGTATGTCTTTGCATTCTTTAGGGGGACAGGCGCTTCTCGAGAGAGCTTCACTCTACTCATAAAAGTCAGAGAGAGAGAGAGAGAGAGAAGGAGAGAAAATAAAGAACCGGTATAACACCCTCTGACACCAAGGAGATAAAAAAAAGAAGAAAAAAAAAGTCGCCTTTGTCAAGGGCGCGCGTATCCATCCCTAATCAAAAGAAGATCAGACAGCTGCAAAGGAAAACAAAATCAGCCAATAAACTTTACTCTTTCGCTCTACATAAAATCGACGTCTTTTTACTTCCCTTTTTTTTCTATTTAAAGTGAGATATAACAAAAGCTGCTTTTCTTTTCACTCATTCATAACTCCCTCGCGGTATAATCTCATTTCCATCTTTAAAATCAATATACAATATTGTCACAACAGAAGCAGTGTTAGAAAACAAACAGAATATAGCAATTTTTTTTTTGTAATTTTTAATAGTTAAAATTTGCAAATTTCTTTTTTTTTTTAATACAAGTCTTGCAGCGAAACACTTTTATTTTATTTTTTTGTTTTTTAATAAAAGAACTTTTTCTCTAGTATCATAAATCACACAAAACGTAATTACAAAATTAATTAATTTAGCCCCGGCATTGAGATTTATTAATACTTTATTACGTTGTGGAACATTCATTAAATGTAATGAATTTTTTCAGTTATTTGTTGACAGGGACGCCCACGCACATGCAAATTTTCATCAGAGTATGACTAATTGTCTCTTTAGCTTTAGCTATACAGCGAATTCGCTTGCTCACTTTTCGTTTTGAAAATAAAATAAATTATAAAAAAAAAAAATAAATAAATAAATTTTCAAAATAAAATAGGCAAAAAAATATAATTTCAAAGTAAAAAAAAATTATCATAAATTAAATTACATTAAGTATATATAAATATAAATTAGATTTAAGAAATTAAATTAAAAATTAAATTGGAAATTAAATTTAAAAAAATTAAATTAGAAAAATTAAATTAAGAAAATTAAATTAAAAAATGAACTAAAAAAGTTTATATATCTTTCCCTCTGATTATTTTTTCAAATTCGAAAATAAAAAATGAGCCAAAAGTTTTGAATGTTCAAATGAACGAAATATTTTTTGGAACGAATTTTATTACAAAATATTGTTTTAAATATCAAAAAAGAATTTTTTTATTTAATAATTGTTAAATTTACTGTTTTTTATTTTACATTGACATCATAATTTTTTTAATAATTTATAGATTAAAAAAAATATTTCGTTCATTTGAACGTTCAAAACTTTTGGCTCATAATAAAAAAAAAAATTTAATTAAAAAAAAAAAAGAAAAATGAAGGCACATACATCGATATGGGCATTAAGTAAGGACTTTTATTGCGCCATACTCGCAAGTCCCACGAGATTTCAGCGTCAATTAAATCTGCAGAATAACTTAACGGTCCCTTAGAAACCAAAGTGAATGGACTATTCAGACGTTCGTTCAAGCTTCTCGGGTGTTAAATATAATAAAAGAAGGCTGTTCTCACTGTGACGCAAAATCGTAATGTTTATTCGATACCTTAAAAAAAAAAACCCCCCAAAAAAATATCTATAAGAATATAATGTATAAAACATTTATTCCCTATAATAATGTATCACTTTCTACTAGCACTGACAATTCCTTTTTTGAAATTATAATTTCCCCACTCGGTCACGTTACAGATTTCAATTTCTCAAAAGTCGAGTAACTTAAGTTGCTTTTTTTTAAATAGTAAAAATATATTGTTCTCGGTATAATTTTTTCCAAAGTTTCATTAAAAATTTTTTCGAGAAAAAAAAAATTAAAATTCTCCTTGAAAATCAAGGACGCTGCTAATATTATTTTTCAATCCTAAAGAAATAATTTTATTGTACGTGAAAAAAAATATTTTACATCTTTTTTATTTATGTAGGAAATATTTAATTGATATTTACTACTTAAAATAATATTATATATAATTATATAGAAACTATATACTTTACTGAAATATTTACAATTTTTTTTGTTTAAATATTTTTCTGTATTTTAAATATACTGCATTCAATTTTTATAATTATTATTTTTATTATTGTTATTATTATTATTGCTTTTATTATTATTGTTATTATTATTGTTATTATTATTATTATTGTTACTATTATTGTTACTATTATTATTTTTATTATTATTATTAATTATTATTATTATTTTGTTTTTTTTAAAAAACTTAATTTTTTTTCCAATGTGAAATTTAACATCAAAGAATTTTTTAGAAAAAAACATTGACAAAATTCGCGCAACATTTGTGTAACTTTCCTTTCTTTTTTTTTTTTTTTTTTTTTTTTTTTTTTCTTCTCAGACACATATTAATTTTTTTTCTAATGTAACTAAATATGAAAAGCATAAAAGGTGCGAAAAGAAGAAGTTCTAAATGAGGTTAAGTGACTTAATGACTACTTTCAAAGACAAGAATATTTCTCCAATGTTCTCTTTTTCTCTCTCGATGAACGCGCAGAGAAGAAAGATTCTTGTCGAGCGGTATATATTTTAAATATATGACATAAATAATTTTATTTTACCTATAAAATTATACCAAGACAATAATTTTTTTTCTATTCACTTTTCAACAAAAATTAAATCAGGGTGTCTATACTAAAAATCTGAATTAAAATTCCAGGACTTTTTCAAGGACAATTCCAGGACAAATTATTCTTATTTTTCCATGACATTAAATTGAATGACATTAAGGAATAAAAAAAATTTTTCGCAGTTTAACTTATTGTTTTTCAGAAATTATTAAAAAAATTAATTAATAGTAAATTTTCATTTTACTTATTTAATGACTTTTTTTTTTAACTTGATTGACAAAATTATAAATTTTTTGAAAATTTAAAAAAAATTCAAGGACAAAAATAAAAATTCCAGGACTTTCAAGGACATTTTTTCAAATTTCAGGACATTTCCAGGACTAGTAGACACCCTTAAAAATAAATTTGTATCATAAAAAATAATTTCAAAAAAAAAAATTCCGCCTTAACTGAAAAATTTTAATTGAAACAATTTTTCATTTCAGATATGACTTTTAATAATTTCGCGAGAGAGATAGAGAGAGAGAGAAAAAAAAGGAACACATTCGACAATAACAAATGGTGAAAAAGCAATTTTCCAGGGAGATTCTTGAAAGTTTAAAGGCGTGTATTAATTTTATGAAAAGCCGTGTGTTTGTTTTGCTTTTAAGGAATGACGCTTAGGAATCTTGGTGCATAGATAAAGAAGAGAGTGTTTTTTGTATGTATATATATATATATATGTGAGAGGTGAAATTGGAAAAGGAAAGAGAGAAGAATGAAAGAAAGGGTTGAAGTGAGAAGAAAACAGAGGAGCAATGTTGTATCTCGTTTTTCTTTCAGGGTTTCCACCATCGTGGAATATGACGGCGGTGACGTCAGTCTGAATATTTGAAGGGTCGAGACATCAAAAGAACACGTGTTACGTTGCTAGGACGCCGTTTAAATAATGCAAAGTCAACTTATACTCCATCCCCCTCATTCCCCACATTTGTGTCATCTTATTTTTTTTTTGCCTCATTGCCCCTCTCTTTTTTTTTTCTTTACTTTCCTTTAAGTCTCAACTTTCTAACGATCGATGTCTTCGCGAGCAGACAAATTTTTGTTTATAAACTAATTCGCAAAACAGATTTTTTCTACAATTATAATTTTGGAAATAAAAAAAAATAAATAAAAATAAAAAAAAAGAAATATAAAAATACAAAAACGAAATAAAAAAGTAAATAAATAAAAATACAAAAAAAATATAAAAATACAAAAAAGAAATAAAAAAGTAAATAAATAAAAATATAACAAAAGAAATAAAATAAAATACAAAAAAAGAAATAAAAAAATTAATAAATAAAAATAAAAACTGAAAATAAGAAATTTTATCAGTTAATGACGAATTGTTAAAGGTATTTAAAGTTTCTAATTTCGCAAAATAATAACAATAATGTAACAAACAAGAAAAAAAAAAAGAATTACAATCGTTAAAACTTATAAACACTATTAATTTTCCCTTGAATCGAGCTATTGTATTAATCGTGTATATGGTTATATATCCGCTAAAGAACCGAATAAATCATATTTTGCATTTCCTTCACCGTCATTGTTATCATCTCTGAGTCACAAGTTTTAAAAGCAATAAAAATGTAAGCCGCGCCTAATGCCACAGATAACAGCAATAAAATCACCAGAAATTGATATTCATTTATTAAAAAAAGAAATTTATAATTTTAAATTCATAATCAAATATTTATCAATTTTTTTTTTTGCAAGAAAAAAACATTTTTTTTCCCTAAAAAAAAAAATTGTACAAACAATTATCAACCAAAATTTAAATAATTCAAATAAAATATTTATCGCAATATTTCCCGAATTTTAATAGTCTAACAATAGACTAGAGAGAAAAAATAAAATAATTATTTATAACTTATATTTTCCATGCATATATTATTCAAAAATCAACTTACGTAACATTTCATTATTTCTCTCAGAATAAAACGATATATAGACACTCACCTGAAACAGAAAAGAAAATATATTAATAAATTTTCCAAATTTTTTTTTTTTTTTTAAAAAAAGATATAAATATTTAATTTTTAATTAAAATGCAAGTCGCGCTCTAAAAAAAAAATATTACGAGAAATAAAAAAGAAAATTCATAATTAAAAATACTCGAGAAAATAATGTTCTTTTCATAATTTTAATTAAAATTTTCTTTCATCGGATTAATATTAATGGGTGGGAAATAAAAAAAAAGAAATCAACAACTAGAATTTCTCGTGAGCGCTCGTTTTATATAATATATATATAGTACAATAATAAAAAATGGTAAAGAGAAGAAGAAAAGAAAAATCGAGAAAAAGTGTCGAATAAAAGTGAGTTTTATATATATATATATATATATATAGAAAAAAAAAAAAAGTTTGCATAGAAATGGGTTGATGTTTGGCACACGACAGGACGAGGCGGTGGTATGTTCGGCCAATTGGGAAAAAACAGGCTAAAAACAGGAAATTCCGAATATAGGGGTGGTTCCGCAATCCTGCGCGGTGCAGTACCGGGGTTGGGCTAAATGCGCGCGCGGGACTTTAGATGCGCGAATTCCAACTCCCACTCACCTCCTCATCACCTTGCATTAACCCCCTTTGATTTCCTCTTTCACCCCCCTCCCACCCCTCTAACCCCCCAATATCACCATTTCATTCCATATACACAATTCTCCCCCCCCCACCTCCAAATAACATCTATTGCACCTGCACGTGCATTGGCCGAAAACAGTGGCCCTATATATATATATACCGGATGTGAACCACGAAAATAACAGTCCTTTAGTTTCGGTGCCCCCCTCCTAAAAAAAAAAAAATACTTCACCTGCAACCCTTGTCGCGAAATGGCCAAAATATCCGAATGAATCACTTTTTCATTTTCTGCCTCAATTTATTATTAATTACTTTATTTTTCGTGAAATTTTATTTATATATTTTATATATTTATTATTTATATCCCACAAATTTAAAAAAAATATCAGTGAAAATAATAATAAAATAATACTAAAATTAATAATACAAAGAATAATAATTTTAAAATACAAAATTAAAGTATAAAATATAAAAAATTACAAAAACAAGACAAAGGTATACTATTTTTTTTATTTATTCTATAATAGAATAACTAAATTAAACAAAAGAAATAAATAAATAGAATTTTCATATTTATTTCTTTTGTTTATTTATTTTATTTATTTATTTTAGTTATTTTTTTTAGTTATTTTTTTTTAGTCATTTATTTTAGTTAGTTATTTTATTTATTTGTATTATTTGTTTCTTTTCGTTATTTATTTTAGTTACTTATTTTGTTTATTTATTTTATTTATTCATTTCTATCTTTTATTTAATTTATTTATTCATTTATATATATTTTTTATTTTACTTATTAATTTTTATATTTTTCATTTAATTTCTCATTATTGATATAAAAAATCGATTTTATAAATTCTATTTGTTTTTAATTAAATTTAAATTATAAGCACCCTTGAATTAGTTACATTGTGATTAAATTTTACGGCGTAATTAAATTTTTTTTTTTTTTTTTAAATCAATAATTGTATAAGTAAATTATGCGAATAATAATGTTTATATAGTAATTCTTTAGATCAAAGGAAAATTAAATTGATTGTGATATAATTATATGGACATGGCAAAATACCTAACGTTATTCAGTATACATGTGGAATGTATATATATATGTTACATTTATAATGAAATATCAATTTATTTTATTAGAAGAAATATTTAATGTATATATATATATATTGAGCATGTGAATAACTAGTATATAGCTGCATATAATCATAATCAAGAGTGTTTCATTCCGAACAATAATTTATTTCTATAAAGAACTGTATAACCCCATTTTAAATGAATAATTCGTGTATATAGTATAATATTAACCGTGAGCAATATAAAATATATCTATAAGCATTATAATTACATTATAAGTAGAAAATAATAATAAAATATTTAAGTAATTTGATTGTAAAAAAAAAGTCTGGGTTATACATAATGAAATATATATTAAAAAATAATGAAAAAAAAAAATATGTTATTGCAGTGAGACAATTTATGTCAATATTTTTTTACATATTTATGAAATATTAAATTATAATATACAATTATAGAATTCGTCCGGAGAAAAAAAAATATATATATATTTGTTCCAAAGCCAAATAAATAATTACTTTTTTTACAGATAATAATAAGTATTAATAAATCAAATAAAAATTATTATTAAATAGTTATTAATAAATTAAATAATAATAATTATTAAGTAAATATTAACAAATAAAAATAACAATTATTATTTATTTATTATTAATTATTATTAGTAAATATTTATTAAAAATTAAATAATAATTACTATTATTGAATAATAATAAATAAAAAAAAATAAATTAAATAATAATTAATAAAAATAGTTATTTATTTAGTTCAAATAAATATCGAGAAAAAAATTTAATATTTCGTCTCTAAAAATTCTTTCATAAAAACATTTAATATTTTTAAAAAGGCAGTTAAAAAAAAAAGAAATATTATTTTTCTTATTTCATTAAAATTATTGTTATTATGTTCATTAATAAGCGGATGCTACTAATTTGAAATAATAATAATCTAGAAAATTTATTAATCATTAGGTCAAATTCAACGAATGCCATGAATTCCATAGTGGAGAGCATTATAATTATTAATTATTTAATATTATAAATATATGATTAATCAATATAAATACAAATAGAACCTCATTTATTAATAATTTTATTTTAATATAGAATTCCTACTTCTAAATTTAGAAGGGGAAACTGAAACTCACCAACCGTAATATATGAACCAAAATACAATTATTATCTATGATTGAAAAATACATTTTTTTACACTCCTATACACCAGATGGATATATATATATATATATATGTATATGAATATTTTTATTTCTATACACCGAAGGACACTTTCGCGTATATATTTGCATTGAATAAATAATAATAACTCAGCATAAATTGCGCAATACGAGACAGTTGTGTAAACACGGATTATTGCCGATAAAATTATATAAGCTTACAAGAATATTGTTATTGAGATATATATATATATAAAATTAGAATCAAACAATTGTGGGATGACTTTTATTTAAAAAAAAAAATATATATTTTCCATATATATTGTATAATAAATGACACATTATATTTATGTGTAAGCGATTCATTTTTTTTTCTTCCCTCACTTCCTTTCCTCTAGATAACAAAAAGACAAATAATAATAATTACAAGAAAAAAAAAAATTAACAATAGTTAAAATTAAAATACATGCAATAGATAAAACAAAAAAAAAAAAAAAAAAAAAAAGAATTATTAGTAAACAAGTGTAGAAAAAAAAAATTACAAGAAAAAAAATTATAAATAGTAATAATAAAGTACATTTTTTTTTTAAATTAATTTTTTTCCAAGGTACATTTGTGTTTAAGTAAAATAAAATAAATAAAATAAATAAAATAAATAAAATAAATAAAATAAATAAAATAAAAAAAATAAATAAAATAAATAAAATAAATAAAATAAATAAAATAAATAAAATAAATAAAATAAATAAAATAAATAAAATAAATAAAATAAATAAAATAAATAAAATAAATAAAATAAATAAAATAAATAAAATAAATAAAATAAATAAAATAAATTAATTAATTAAAAAAAGTAATAATTATAATTTTAATGAATATAAAAATTTGAAAATGCAATATTTAAACTAGAGAAAAATGAGAATTCGGGAGGAAAAAAAAGAAGAGGAAAATCTGTTGTAATGTTGACAGTTAAATGCTAAAATCTTATGATTTTTGAAAAAAGAAAAAAAAATTGGAGAAAAAACTATGAAAAGTGCTTTAGTGGAGAAAGCGAGAAGTAGAAACAGGTTGGAGAGGTGTTTTTGCGCGGAAGAACTTTTAATGCAATTACGAACGACTTCTGGTGTCTCAGTCCCTCTCAGTGACTCTCTCTTTGTTTTCTCTCGTTCGCTTCCTCAACCCCCTGTCGACCTACTCCTACCGAGGAAACCCCCCCCAACCTACTTCTCTATATCTATATAGAATGCTATAGAACTACTCCTACCTATACTTTATCTTTATCTGTTTTTCCCTTTTTTTCTCTCTCTCTCTTTTTTTCCTCCTCCTCCTTCTTCTTCTTCTTCTTCCTACTCTCCTACCTGCGACGCACGTCATTCTGCATTATTTTCATTTTATCGTCAGCAATCTTGGTTAATGCAATCCTCTCCCCTTCCCCTTTGGACCATTTCTCCCCATCCACCCCAGTCCGAGGCCTTTTTATTTTATATTTGAATATTTTATCGGTCGAGGCGCCTCCAAGAAGCTGGAGAATTCATTTTTATAACGGAGTCTGGAGCTCGTCGCTTAAAAAATAAAAAAAAAAAAAAAAAAAAAACTACTTTCCGTTAACTTCTTGCATAACTTTGATAAAATATTCGTTTAAAAAAAAAAAAATTGTTTATTAAGTTCGCCACCCCCTCTCTTTGCAAATATGATTAACGTTTATCAGAAGAATTTTATTTTTAATTAGTGTTTTACTTGCGAGAACAAATTTTTTATACCATAACTTAATAAAATTCTTTTCAATCTTAAGAGTTTTAAGTTGAAAATAAAAGTTATTCTCTTCTCTTTCTTTTTTTTTTTACTTATTCTTCTTCTTTTTTATTCAGCCAAGAATACAAAAGACGAGATGAATTAAATTTTTATTTAATTATGAAATTTTAATTAAATTAATTCGACGCTAAAAAGGTTTCTTTTAACAGAAAAAGAATTTTTTTTGCAAAAAAAAAAAAAGAAAGTTAAATGTCAAGGAGAGAATAATAAAAAAAAAGTTATATATAAAATATTTATTTATAATAATTAATTATTCAGTTTCTATTTTCTTCCGAAAAATTTATTTTCCATTTAATAAATAAAAAA